AACTAACTGTGACATTTTATCTTGTGCTAGTCATAGCGCACATGGGCTGTGCCACCCCCACCCCACTCATGCTATTCACTTGTATTTTGATGCAATAGCAATTGTATTTGCCTCTAGATTTGGCAAGTTCTCTCTTCTACGGACTATATTTCCTCCTCAACAGACTAGGTCACTGTTGTGCTCTTAGGGTGAGGTTTCTTCTCAAAATACCCTTTTTTTTTTTACCCCCGTGACTTGGCCACGTCTCTGCCCGCAGAGCTCTGCTCTCCTAACGCTGCGTTGCTGGTGGTCGTGGCGACTCCCATTCCAGCTGCCTCCACCCCTCCTTGGTTGGACTCAAATCTAGAGGAGCATCTCTGCTAGCTCCCCCCCATTTAATGATTATTAAATAGCTGCTGCCCCATGTCAAGAAGAGGCTGTTGGGTGTATTCCCAAGGGGATTATGTCACGCACAGCTCTGACAGCACTGTGCATGTGCACACACACACGGGTCGCACAGATAGTCGCTGTTCTGGCAGAGCGTCCCTAAGCCACAAGCTATACGTTTGTTACGTTATGTTAAAACAATAAGAGCAACTTTACTAAAAAAAAACACTGTTTACGAGGGGTCTAATAAAAAGGTTCTGTGGGCAATTGTTCCCTGTGGGTCAATTCAGTAGGAAATAAAACTCTTATGTTGCATAAAACCAGAGAACGCCAAATAGCTCACAGACATTCTTAGATCGGATTTGGTGAGGGAATATGAGATATGGGCTGAAACTAGAAAAACTCTGCTCCGACTTAATCAATAGTGTTTAAAGTTCTATAATAAGGCTTGGGGGGGGTAAGTAGGGAGCACAGTCCTGATGTCGCTAACTGAATAATGCTGCAGTTGTCTGGTTTGAACACAAGCCTGTGTTTTTGTTTAAGTTTAAATGTGAACCAGCTGTGTAGGTGCTGGAAAGTTGTGGGGCCTTTGGCCCTTGCTGGGAGGCGAGAATGGCTTCAGGAGAGTTTTCTTCAGTGCTGCAGAGGGGAGAGGCTGCAGGCTTACAGTTTCCTGTGCAATTAACAGCAGCCACACCGTAGCCAGATTATTTTTTTTTCCTCCCTCATCCTGTCATCCCAGCACCTCCCCCCCCCCCCAAAACACGCACTTCCAGAGGTGGCGCCCGTGCAGTGTCCTGGTGTACCGTACCCTGGGCTGGGTTAGCAGTAGGAGAGCAGAATTTGAGCAAATTGTCCATCCCATGGTGCCTGTTAATGAAATACCAGAAGTGGCAGAAATCAGTCAGCCCCCTTCGCCTGACACACCTGAAGGCAGCTGCAGACAGGCCGTTTCCCAACCCCCTGCATTTATTTCCCACCCCCCCCTTTTTTTTATTAATAGGGTGCCAAGAGAGTGGGCAGAGTTCTGTACATGGCAGGCTTCCCCATGGCTTTCCCGCTGCAACCTCCAGGTTTACGGCCAACGGAGCGGGACCTGCCCCCGGCTGATCTCCGGCCGTCCTCCACGGGCAGCGTGGCATCCCCCTTCAGCAGCAGTCTGCCCTCTGCCAGCCGCGTCTCACCAAAGCAGGAGAACGGAAACCCCTCCATCATTGCTGGGCTCAACGACACCACGAAACCTCCATCGTAACTGCAGGACAGCTCTTGACTGCTTCTGGAACTGAGATTCAGCTGAACAAGCTGAAGTTAATGCGTTTGGAGAGAGCAGGAGAGCTTCCCTCAGCAGCGGGAGACACAGGAGTGAGGAAGGGAGGTTCTTAGGTGTTTTTTGGATGCATTTGCTTTTTGTTTAAAAAAAAAAACCAACAAACTAGAGAAGTTTTAAAAACTCTAAAAAGGGAAGGAAAGAAAACTATCCAAAGATGTACTGAGACAACGCGAGTGAAGAGAAAGGTTATTCTGGAGGATGGCAGCAGCATTCCCACTCCCTTTCACACCCTTTCTCGCTCACCAGTCGGAGATGGAGAGCCGTGGACATGCAATGAACGCTTTTCTTTGCCAAACACGGCTTTCAGGAACTTCTGGGTGTGACTCCAGGGAGGGAAGGGGAACAGGCACTGCTGCTCCCCACGGTACTCGGCCCCCCTGAGCAAAAAAACCCATCGAAAACCAACAACCTTCCCAAGTATCTCCCTGGAAACTGTACTCAGTTCCTCATTCAGGTGTCTATGCATCTCTAGCAACTTTGAAAACAATACCAAAGACAGACAAAAAGAAAAAAAAAAAAAAAAAAAAAAAAGGAAAAAAAAAAGGCAAGTTCCGGTCCATGTTTACTTCAGTGTGGATGGTACGGCACAGGCGGCTCAGTGCTGTCCCACGGGCTAGCGGCTGCCCTCTTCCCTGGCACGTTGTCCCTTTGCGCGCACACAGAGAACGGACTCTGCCTGTGCTCCAGCCCTGCAGAGGTTGTGGGTTTTTTTTAATTACATGTTTTGTTTTAAAGAGAAGAAGAAAAGGGTGTGCTTTGGTGGGATGAAGGGTCACAGGCCTCATTCCTTCCTTCACGTGTACAACAGACTCATTTCTACATTTGGGGTGGGGTTTTTGTTCATAGGGTTGGTTTTATTCTTTTTTAAAGCCTTGTTACAGAGGTGGATGTAGTTGCACATTCTGGCCTGCTGTGGACCATGAGACGATACCTGTGCGTTCCCGAGGAGGGGAGGGATGCTGAGGAATTCAGGCAAAAAACAATGGGTAGAGTTTTTTACTACTGTGAATGAGATGGTAACGCCTGGGGGTGACCTCCTGTGACTTGTACAGTTGTGAACAACAATCACATGTGGTACTTTTCTCTCTTCTCCCCCCATCCCTCCCTTTTTTTTTTTTTGTTTTGTTTAAACGTTGCACGTGCTACCGTTTTTCTTACAAAATAGCTTGGTGGTACATTAGCTTCTTTATATTGTAAAAAAAAAAAAAAGTCATTATCCATCACATCACGATACAAAATGCTTTCCAGCAATCAATTTAAATAAAAAAGAAAAACACTTAATTTACAAACAGTACCTAGCTTCCTGAGCTCCTTGCAAGAAGTCTCCTTTCTTTTCCTGGTGTGTACCCTGGGGCCATACCCCCTAGTGCTGGTGTTGGGAACTCCTGGAGCATCTGGGAGGGTGGGGTCACAGCTGCTGAAAGGCAGCACCTGGCCCAGCTAAGCTGGAGAAAGGAGACAAAGCAACTCCTTTCTCTTTTGGAAGAAAAGGTAAGTTAAAACCTTTTTCTTACAGTTAGGGCCTTACCAGTCTCATCTTGCAGTCCTATCCCGGACTCCCATGTGTGATTCCCTGCAGACACGGGTGTTACCGGCCAGAGGGAACCTCAGTCTGGAGCACTCCTGAACCCCTAATGCAGCAGCAGGTGCTTTTTGGCCCCCTCAGAGTGGGCTACAAATAACAATAATTACAACAATGATGATCATAATACTAAAGCCCAAATTACTAATTTCTGCAGTTACTGCCTTCCCACCCTTACGGGATGAAGGTTTCTGGGTGTGTGTCTCCGAAGGGCAGGTCTGGTAATTACTGTCACTGCAGCTGGGAAAAAGAAACCCTCTCTCCCCATTCCTGCCACTAAGCTCCAGAACCCTGAACAAAGCAAACCCCTTACAACTCCAGACTGCAGCAGTAATTACCTGTGCGGTAATGATCTGTGGAAGGAGATTATGTTATTAGTTTTGTCTCTTCTTACTCCTTCCTGCCTGCACAGCCTCCCCTCTCCCCACCTTCTCCCTGCCCTACCCTAAGGCTCTTATTTAAAGTTAACTTCCTCAGCATCCTTACAGTCAGCGTGACTTCTGATGTTCCCGGTAACATTTCCATGTGCAGTGAAGATACAACACTCTGAAACATGCTCCGCAATCCTTACGAACTGCATGGCAAAAGGGAGGGTTTGGGGACAGTCCCAGAGCAAAATATGGGGCCACAGGGGTGGGTGGCTGAACACAGGAGGACCCTTAGACAAAATAACTTGCCCTTCCCCTTGGTCACCTCGTTAATGCTCCAGCAGGAGCTGAAACTGAACCCCACGGTATTTAAAGCAGCGGATTTTAATGAGGACGTTTTATTACCTGCGCTGAGCAGTTTACTGGCCTTGACGTGACCACAATTTTTACCGTTAACAAAAAAACAACTGATGGGGTGGGAGGGGGGCAGTGTGTGTGAAAAGCTTCCAAGTCCAAGTAGCATCTCTGCTGTGTCACTGAGAAAGTCCTTGGCAGCACCTGGGGCTGGTCTCCCACCCTCCGTCCTCCCCCGCTCTTACCGCCTCTTTGAGAACCCGCTGCAAGGCGCAGAAGGCTGGGTGATGACAGCAGTGCTGTATGGGATAAGCTTGGAGGGGGGCCGTGAGGATGCTCAGTCATCATCGGAGAAAGCCAAGTCCTCCACAATGTCCTCTTCTCCCTGGGCGAGCTGCTGAAGGTCAGCTTGTGACATCCCCCGAGTGCGGCTCCTCTGCTTCTGTGACCCTTGGGAACTCCGTGTGGCTTCCTCGCCCTCCTCTGCAGGGGGAAAGAGCGAGAGGTGTAAATCCTGCTTTCCTGGAGCGAGAGTGAGGCGAGTCGAGGCAACTCATCATTGCTAATTAATCCCAGACACGCATTAATTTATTGGCGCCGCTGCAGCTCCCAGATAGCGGCAGGAGAGCGCTGCAGGGTGCTCGGTGCAGCGCTGGCTCTGCAGTGCCCAGGGCAATAGGAGAGGAGCCCGAACTGATTGTTAAACCTGAGAGAGAAACAAAATGAGAACTCGGGGCAGGAGCCAGGCAGCGCCTCCAGCCCTCCCAGCTCGGGTCAGGTCCTCGCTATAGCCATCCGGCTGGGCACTGAGAGCTGACAGGAAGGAGCTGTCAGGTAACAGCAAGACTAACAAATGCAAAATGAGCCCCAAGCTCCCTCCTTTTTTTTTAAATTATATTTTAATAGCGGGGAGCAGCAGCAGCTGAGGGATGTGGCTGCGTCTCCCCCCTCTCAGC